TCCTCTGCCTCACGGTTCCTGGGTCTGCCTCTCCATCACTCCCTCCTGTTTTGACACTCCAGAATCAAACCCCAGATGTTTATAATTTATGACCACGTCTTTTCTTCCATAAGCCTGGCATGCTGTAGGAGGAAGACGTATGTCCAGGAGTCAGAGGACCTGGGTGCCAGCCTTAGCAGGGACCCTTGGGACCATGAAGAGCCTCTGTTGCCCACTGATAAAATGAGGATGATGATGCTATCATAACAGCTGCTTAGAGGCAGTTGTCTGTCTCATGAGCTCATGCAACAAAATAAAAGGCATGTGCATGGGACACCCAGGTGGCTCAGTCAGTTAAGCGTCTGCCTTCAGCTCGGGGTGTGATCCCGGGATCCTGGGATTGAGTCCTGCGTTGGGCTCTAAGCTCCGCGGGTGAGTCTGCTCCCTCTCCCTCTGCCCCTCCTCCCCGCCTTGTGAGCTCTCTTTCTCTCTCTCACTCTCTCTCAAATAAACAAAATCTTTTCCCACATTACATTTCTGTGGGAACTGACAACGACCCTCACTTAGAATGTTTCTGACATACCGGCCTTGGCACCTGTTGGCGTGCAGGGGTGGGGGGGTAGGGGAGCAGGAATTGATGATGGAGAGATGGAAAGAGACGGAAGAGGAAGAAGCTCCTGCCTGTGCCCTGGGGCTAGCTAGCATCTCAGAACCTCTTTGGAAGCATCCTCGGCCGGTAAGTGGCACTAAACACTCAAGAAGTTGAGGGTTCAGGAAGCACTTTGAGACACACCTGCACTTGGGGAAATCAAGAACCTCAGCTGAATTTTTCAGAAAGCAAAAAGAGAAGCCCAGAACAGAAAAAGGCTGCACGTGGGGAATGAGCTCAGCGGAGCATATGCTCTTCAGGAGGTGCTGGGGCGGCCCCGGCGGGCAGGCTGGCGTCAGTCTCACCACACCCACACCGTGTAGTCCACCCGTCCTCCTGGCTCGACCCCCACCGCGATCCTTCCTGCTCACGCGCTTTTCTTGCCAGTAAAAACCCTGAATCTTTAATAAATTATAAACATGCTTTCCCGTCTGTCTGCGGGCGCCAGATCTCAGCATTGGCGGCTTTTGACATTCCCCTGGTATCCCTAATAGATCTTGCCATTTGATTAATCTTTTAGAGCCTTCTCCCAGAGAGCCCACCATCTGAGCCGACTCTCCTCACAGCATCCAGTTTGAAGGATTTTTCTCCAGCTCTCGGCCTGGTTGCCTCCAGTGCCACCTGCTCATCCCCAAGCAGGGCTATTGGATGCTGGGGACAGGTGGCAGTTAGAAGTCACGGGACCTGGGTTCAGCTCGCCTGAGTCACTCCGTAGGGATGTGACCCTGAGCGAGATTCTGAGCCCTGGGTCTGCTCTTCTGGGGAATGGAGGTTCTCAGAAGCTGTTGCGAGGGTCTGATGAGACAGCGTGACCAGGGGCAGAAGGAAGAATCCGTGAAGTCCCAGGAGCCAGGCTGCCCAGGCCATCAAGGTGTGAACACTGCCCTGCTGCCTGCACTCCCTGGGCCAGTGCACACTGGAGCTCTTGGGGGATCCCTGCCCTGCCTGGAGAAGAGCCCCCTGTCCTTTATCCTGCAGGAGGGTGGAGGGGAGTGAGGTCCAAGAGCACTATCTCCTAGGCTCCCGCCAATGCCTGTCATGCCACCAAGTTCTGCCCAGTTTAGAAGGTTGACTGGGTCATCTCCAAGGCCCCTTCTTTTTCAGAATCATGAGTTCATGGTTCTAGTCCATAAGCGCAGAGCATTGCATGGAGGCTGGTTCCGGCCCTATAGCCGTGCTAATAATAATTCTAGCTATCATTTACTTGGCCGCTGTTAAACACCTGGTGCTTTGCCTGCAGTCTGTGGTCTTCACAACAAGCCTGTAAGGGAGGTATCTGTCTGCATTTTATAGGTGACACATCAAGGCTCTGAGAAGGCAAATGATGTGTCCAAGGGCACACAGCACAGTTTTCGGCAGATTCAGGATTCAAACTGACATCATAGCCTGGCTTCCTTTCTCTAACACTGATGCTGGGTGCTTTGCTCTTCCCCCCCGACCCCCATCTCTCAGGGCTTCTCAGGGCCCCTCGACCTCTGTCCAGACAGGACAGAACCACCCAATGGGAGCAGTACTCTGCACATTTGAACTTGCTGTTGGAAGACAATGGTCCTGCCGGGTTTGTCAAGCATAGACTATTACCTAACAACATAGTAATAATCTAGGGGGGAACATCTGCAAGTTAAAAATTACTGTCTGCACTTTCCAGACAGAGAAACGGAGGCTCAGAAAAGTCCATTTGATGTCCAGCCACACAGTCAAGCCCAAGCTGCAGAACGGTCTTTGTGGCGTTCTGTCAAATCAACCATTTTTATTCAGTGTCTGCTACAATCAGAGCTTCTGATTACTATGCCGTGGGAACCTTGAGCAGCAGAGCCCAGCCCCTGTCCTGCAGATGAGCAGACAGCAGGCTGGAGAGGAGGTGGTTGGCCCATAGTCCCACAGCTGCTCCGTGGGGTATGACCCCCCCCCCCGGCGGATATTCTCAGGATACTCAGCCTGTGAGTCCGGAACCATGCCGGGACTGGGACGCTGTACCCCATTTCTCTCCGTCCATCCTTACCTCATCCAGCACCTCCTCATCCGTGAAGACGTCAGCAGCTCAGGTGGAGTCGTGCGGGCCTCTCTGCTCTGCGAGCCCCGTGTGTGCACGTGCTGCTGGGGCATCCTATATGCACACGCCCAACCTCCCAGCTGCATGTGGCCGAGACAGGAGAAATGGCCTCTGTCCCCAGAAGCTCTCTGAGCGGCGGCTCCCACTACCAGCCTCCCACACCAACTTGCCCTAAAGAACTTCCATCCCCAAGGCTAAGGTTTGGGGTCCCTTTGCCATCCCCAGGGCAGTGCCCAGCGCCTGACCCTTGGCGCAGCCCTGCCAGTCGTCTTGTGAGTCACTCAGGTTGGTCATTCTTTTGGTCTCCTCTCTCTGACAGAGATAAGGAGGTCCCGCTAAGCTCTCAGCTTTATTACCTTCCTGGAAAAGACAGATCATCATCCCTCCGCTCTCTGACATCCATCTCCTTCCTTTTGGTGCTCACCATGCTCACTGCTGCCTCCCCCTCTGCCTGGGTCTCCCCAAGCCCCTCCGTGCCCTCACGGACCCTGCAGGACAGCCACTGAGGGCCTCCCCCCCCCCCCAGCAAGTCCATCTCAACCAGCCACCCACCCTCCTACCTCATTGCTCCCAATTTGAACTCAGCTCTGTATATAAAGATAGGCAAGTTCAAGGCCTCTGCTCCCTGGGGGCCAAGTCAAGGCATTTTCCTTCCCGTTTTATAATAGTGGATGAGTAGGAGCTCATTGGGTGGAGAAAGGAGGAAGGACACTGCTCCATACTGAAGTCCTCGTGTGAGCAGTGGCGGAGAAGTCTGGCCACATACAATGCTGCCACTGTGGGAGGTCTCGAGGGCTATGGTAGGGAGTTTGGACATTCTGCATCAGGAGCCACTGAGGGCTTCAGGCCAGAGGAAGGCCTGGGCAGAGCTGTGTGGCCGTGACAGGACATGAGTGGCCGGGGCAGAGGGTGGAGGCAGGAAGACTGGTCAGGAGGCTGCCGCAGGGATCCCCAAGAGTGAGGACTCTGGGAGCCTGGCCCATGGGGACAAGTGAAGAGGAGTGGATTCTGGAGGGTTTTCTTAGTAGGTGGAGCTGACATGATGTGGTGAGGCATCATCTCTGAGGGTGACCACGGGGAAGGCCTGAAGGTCATGACTCACCTTTTTACTGTCCCTTCACCTGGGGCCTTCCTTTCCTAATTCTTGGCTCCTGGTGGGTTGACCCAAGCTCAGCTCTGCTCAGGCCCTGAGCACAAGGGCCCCTCTTTCTCTGTGTAAATTCTCCTGTTCAGCGTTTGCTTTTGGAGGAATGTGTTCAAGTCTCAGGTAGGCCAAAGGGACGTCAGGCTCATTGGGCAAGGATTGAGATGAAGTGTTTTCCGCCAGACTTCTTTGAGAATCTAGTGAAAACTATGAATCATCTTCCCAGAGAACAACCAAACCAAACCACAACAACCCACACATTTGTATACACTGCTTTGCAGAGAGTTTCAGTGGGCTCACGGTCCCCTGGAAGTCCATCCTTGGATCTCCGGACTCCACATGCAAAGCCCCGAGCTGAGGACGAAATTGGAAAATGAAGAGAAGAAACGTTTGACTCCCCAAATGTCTGTTATTTACTTCCTTGGTTAATACCACTCCCCGTAACTGGGCAGCCCCTGAAAGACCTGGAAACAGGAGGAAACACTTACCCGGGGATAGTCCCTGGTGGCACCAGCATCACTTGGCGGCTTTATTTTCATTAATGGTAATTTTCGGGCTACGGGCTACAATTTTCCCTTGCAGAGAGGTATTAAATTGAAATTACCCCAGATGTAATTGTCATACAAAATGATCCTGGACACGTGGAATGAATGCTTTTTCAAGATGGGGTTTTATTGTCTATGCCAGGGTTTTAGGGCTCTGCCTGGTTAAACATGCCAAATTTCTGCCTGTATGGCAGGAGTTCAGGAGTCAACATGGGCGGGGCGGGGGGGGAGGGCTGGAGCTGCTGGCCCAGGACACAGTGAGGCTTCTGCTGACCCGGATGGACACAGACCCGGGAGCAGAGCCCAAGACTTGGGGGTGGCTTGGTGTGACTGCTAGGACCCTCTGTGCATTAACTCGGGCATGTGAGAAATCCCATATTGATGTCTTGTACACTAACATAATTTGAATCCAAGCCCAGGTTCCCCTGTGGGGGTGGGAAATTTAGCTTCATTCTGGGCACTCCCTGCCCTGGGGTCTTCACCTGTGCTGTGCAGCTGGGGCAGTCCTCCCCAGACGCCAAGCCTCTGTCCGTACTGGTGACGGCCACAGTGCCCTTGGTTCCAGCTCTTAAGATCTCCTTTGCCCCCCCCGCCAAGGCCTTATGTGTCCTCCTGCCTTTCCTTCCCCAGATGCACCCTGCTGGTGTACTGCACCGACCTCCCCCCCACCAGCATCATCATCACCTTCCACAACGAGGCCCGCTCCACCCTGCTCAGAACCATCCGCAGGTAAGACAGCCTTCCTCATGGGTCGGCCCTGCTGGGAAGAGAGGGTCTGCTGACGGAGGGGACTGGCCCTGAGGTAAAAATGTCAGGCATTTCTGACTCCATGCCCGCGTTGTCTGACACACTTCACGCATCCATTCAATCACTCCTCGCCCTCCTGTGAGGGCAGCTCGTACTCTGTTTTATGGGTGGGGGGGGGTAGACAGAGGCCCAAGGTGGTCAGTAGCTTGTCCGTCACCGGCAGCCACAGAGAACCTGGAGCTCTCGCCCTTAACCGTCGTGCTAGACTGCCTCTGGAACGGGTTCTAACTACCACAGCTGCCAAGGTTGCTGAGGCCCCGTGAGGCTGAATACACACCCCACCCCAGCATCAGGCTGGGATTAGAACCTGGGTCTGCCAAGTGCTACCTCTCCCAGCACCTGCCTCTCCACAGCCTCCCACGGGGCCAGGCGCCGCGGTGCAAATCAGAGCAGCCCAAAGGCAGTGGCTGACCTTTGCTTTCCCGGCCATCTCCCTTCTGTTCCAGCCCCGACCCCGCTCCTCCTCTCCACCCACCCTCAGCTCCAAGTCTGGGCCCTGCTCTTGCTCTAACAGGTGCATCCTTCCTTTGTCTGGCCCGTGGCCTGCATGAATCTGGGGTGTGCAGAAGTCCCAGCACCAGCTCCCGGCAGAACTCCCCTCAAAACCCAGGCGGGGCCCCGGGGACTTGGCCCTGGTTGCTTCAGCTTCCCCTTCCCCATGCCATGTCCTTCGGCAACTCTGGAGCCCCCATGCCCGTCCTCCCCCCATCTAGCCCCCCTACCTCTTTCAGGTCTCGGTAGCATTGACTTCTCAGACGGTGGCAATGACAACCATCAATCGTGAGGCCCCCCCCCTGGTGTGCAGACATGCCTCGGCTCATGCTCTCAGCTGGGGAGGTGGGGGGCCGCTGCTGTACCCACTCTACAGCTGAGGGAACTGAGGCTGGGAGATACTAAATCAAAGCCTCCTGTTGCTCAGCCAACGGTGGTGAAGCTGGGTTCCAGCGCTTGCACTCTGACCTCAGTTCTTCTCAGCAGCGTCCATAGGCCAGGCTAGTCTCCGGGTGGTGTTCAGCAGCCCTGGTGTTGGGGCCGGCCCTGCGACAAAGTGCCTGCATACCTCCATGCCCCTAGGACACGTGGCCTGCCTGAGCCCATCCCTGTCTGGTAGGCAGCACAGCACATGGTCGTCTGATCCCACAGAGAGGGAGGGCCTAGGAGAAGACAGCCCAGCATGGCAAAATCTCTCGTCGTTTCCATCACGAAGCCACACCTTCCTATGCCTGGCGGCGGGCAGACAGGGAAGCTCCAGGTGATGGGAGGGGGTCAGGAATAGGCTCACCCTCATGGCGGGTACCAAGTCTTGCAGGGACGTCCAATGAATGTCTGCTGTGCAGGGTCCCTGCATCCCATGGAAAAGCAGGGACGGACCTGCCCAAATGTGCTTTGTTTCCGCCGTCCGCAGGGGCAGCTCTGTCTGTGGCCCAGATGTCCCTGGCAGCCGACCGGCTTGTTCCTTCTGCCAGCTGCTTGCCCTCCCTGTCGTATTCACCCCACTGGTCACCACTATCACATTTGGTTTCCCAAAGACGCTTCAGTTCTTAACACGCAAAACATCCTGAATCAGTCAGGAGTCACTGTGAGTCTCACAGTAGACTAATACAGTAACTTTCCGATTTGTAAACCCAAGCGGGTATGTGTAGGGGCCAGGGGTACAGGGTGATCCGGTTCACCTGGGTCTTTTCTGGCGAGGGGAGAACGTTGTTCCTGCGCCGTGCGGGCTGAGCAGGTGCACCGTGGAGCAGAGGTGGCTCCCTTGAGAATGCCAGACCACAGCCCCGCTACCGTCAGGGTCTGCTTGGGCACCAGGTGGGGTTTCTGGAACAAACTTAGGGCAGTCTCTGCCTTTCACCACGCATGGCGGCTCTTCCACAAGGTCGTGTCTGGGCATGTCTGCCAGACGTTTCCATGAGGACACTATAGGATCAGAGAGAGGCTCCTTGCGTTCCAGGCTGGCCTTTCTTTTTCCTTGTAGGAGTCCTCTGACACCATACACCTCCATCCCCTCAACACACACACACACACACACACAGACACACACACACACACACACACACACACACCATTAGGGCCTTCTTCTGGGCTCCTTACTGCACATCTCAACTCTAGCCCTTAATGCATTTTTCCCAGATGTCACCTTCAATAAGCTTGTTTAGGGCAAGGACTACGTCTTATTCATCTCTAAGTTCCCTGTGACCCAGTTGCCTGATCCAGGAAATGGGAATCATGACCATAGCTACCGCATGGAGTTGCTTTGGGTTCAGTCAGGTAAGGGACTGACCACTGTGACCAGCAGAGGGTACGTGCTTGAGCAACATTAGCTATGTCCTTATCTGCACAGCGACTGGGCTCTCAAAAGAAAAGAGGCGGTGGGTACCTGGGGTCAAGACCTTCCCTAACCACTTCCTAGCCGTGTGACCTTGTGTGGGTCACTGACTGCATCCGTAAGGACGGGGATAAAAATATCTTTCATGTTTCCAGTGCTCCCAGTTCTATCACATTTCCCACAAGAAGACATTACCTTGGGACATTTGGGGGTGTTCTAATATCCCATGGGGCTCCCAGGCCCCCCCATATTTCTCATACAGGGTCATGTCAGCTGCTACCTGTAGACTCATCCCTTTCAGCTCTAAGACATATTTTCCCTTCTCTTCCCGCCGCTCGTCCATCTCTTTAGAATCGTAATAATGATACTTTATAATAATATTATTAATATTTTAATTGTCTGCTGAGCTTTATGGTCTCCAGAACACGTTACATCTCACGTCAGCTGGGACCTGTGAAGTCAGGGGTGCACGAGGTGAATGGAGGCCCAAGGCCACCAGGCTAGGAAGCACAGGGGCCAAGACTCAGGTTTCTGACTTCCTGGGGGGACGTGGGGGGCAGCTCGGGGGGCAGCTCCGGGCGCAGCCCCAGCACCTCTGTCCACCAGCCTCATGAGGGCTGCCCTGAGGCCCTGGTGTACTGTGCTCCAAAAGGGGGTTGAGGCCCATCAACACCATACTTTTCAGAAGGCCCCCAGAAAGTGCCAGACCATACACCAAACTGCTGGGTGCTTTGCCAGGAGAGCCCATGGACCTATTTCCTGCCTCTGAGGAACTTTTGATATAAGCCAGGCCCCCTGGCTCCAACCCAAGTGTGACACACGAAGACAGCAGAATGAGGGGAGAACTGTGTGTGAACAGACAGGCTTCTCTACCATAGGCAAGGTGAAGGGAAATTTTAAAGGGTGGAAGCAAGGAAGATTATTTCTAGAAATTCCCATGGCAGGTATAATTTGCCTTGGGATTCTTCACCTTCCTCACGGTCCCTATCCCGATGCACAAATGAATCACCAGGACAAAGATGGGACTGAATGAGGAGCACTTCCTCTCCCACTGTGTCATCAATGGAAGGGTCTTCTGTAAGGTGTCTTTCATCTTTCATGTTCCAGAATTCTGATGGCTTTGCTGCCAGGCCCTCACAAAAAGACGCTCCAGGGGAGGATTGTACCCCCTCCTCCCGTCTCTTCCCCCAGCACTTGGCCGAGCCGTCATCCCTCTGCCCGTCCCTGCCCAAGCCCTCTGGCCCCCCGAACTCCTGAGTTAGCTAGGGGGCGGGGGGCTGGAAGGGCACACATGGCGGCACTCAGAGCCAGGCAGAGGCCTAATAGGGGTGGGTGATGGGGGGGGAGGGAAAGAGTCGCAACCCAGATCAATGAGGGGACTTCTGTCACTTACAGAGAGAGAAGACAAGCCCTGAGGAATGGTTTATCTTGTCTGCTACTGCAGTGGGTCCCTGTGCATATGTGAGACTCAGGGCCATCCCCTTCCTTTTGGGGCATCCTTCAACCCTCCACCTCCCATGGGGGCTCTAGAGTATGTGCAGTTGATCGGTTTATATCCTGAATCTCCTTACTGTTGCTTTTTGTAAAATCCTGGATTTCGAGGAGTGATTTCTTAGGTTAAGGTGGATAAGAAATGGGACCCCGGGGCCAGATTTGCCTGTTCTGCTACCAACTCTATGACCCTGGACAAGCTCCTTGACCTCTCTGCCTCAGTTTCCTTTTCTGTAAAACAAGAGCTACTGATAACTACCTCACACGATTATGAGGGAGAGTGAGTTTAGGTAGCTAAGGCCTTGATGCGCGGCACGGAAGGAAACTGTGTACGTGACAGCAGGTGTCATAATGGCTCTCCAGCCCGGGGAGGCCGCCGTGTTGTGTGGCTCTCAGACCTGAGCCCACATTAGAAGCCCCGGAGCTTCCCATCCCCAGGTATTCTAACTCAGTAAGTCCAGAGTGGGGCCCAAGCATTTGCCTTTCTCACGAATCCCCGGGTGACGTAGATGCTGCTGGCCCAGGGATGACACTTTGAGAACCAGTATCATCCTTACTATCCACACCCAGATTCTGAAAGCAGCCACGGGGCCAAGCTCAGTGCTAAGCACCTTTCATGCAGCTGAGGAAGTTGGGGTGCTGCAGGTTGAATAGCTAAGTACGTAAGCACCTCAGTACTGAAGCTCTTTCAAGCCCGCGTGGATCGAGTACTTGACTCCACGTCAGCCTGGCTCCAGAGCGACCAAATTTGACTGTCAGCCGCCCTCAGGTCTTCATTCAGCTGGTATTTATGGAGCATTTCATAAACCCTGCCTGCATATAGCACCGTGGAGTTCACAAAGCAATCTCAGATACGTTTCCTCATTCTGTACGCACAAAAGCCTGTGAAGTAGGTTAAGTATTAATATCGCCCGCCTTTACAAGGAAAATGTAATTACAGATGAAAACGAAGGCTGGGAGCGGCCTGGCGTCTTGTTCAGGATGGCGGAGCCGCCTGGCCTCCCACGCTGTTCACATGGCCGTGCCCGCCGCCTCCCAGGATGCTCCGCGTGCGCCCCCCGTGCGGGCCCAGCAGCAGAAAAGCAGAAGGTGTGGGTGGACGCTGGCTGCACAGCTACCCTCTGGCAGAGAAGTGAGCTGTGTAGAAGGAGACTCCGTTCTAGAATACTTCCCAGGCAGAGTGGGACACGGGTATGCCAGTGAGGTGAGCACTCACTCCCATGCTGAGGCTGTAGGGAGAGGACATGGAACCGCCATGGGAGAGAGAGGCTTATCCTAAGCTGGAGGAAAGGGAGGGTTGGCTTTGTGGCAGAGGGGCTGGGGAAGCGTCCTGGCGGACAAACTGGGGACAGAAAAGTGGGGGTGGGGAACAGAGCAACCAGGGCCGGGGTGGTGGGAGTGGCAGTGGATGTGCCGAAGGAGGGCCCTGAGGGGAACCATCTGGGGCCAGGCCAGCTCCCCTGGGCTAGACTTGACCTTTCTCCTCCGGCCACCCCAGGAGACCAGAGCACCTGCCCCGTCGCAGGCCCTCCCAATCCAGAGCCACGTTCCTGGCGCCCCTGCGATCCCTCCAATTGCTCTGATTAGAAGAGCAAAAGCAAGCCAGGTGTTAACAGGAAATGGTCGAATTAGCACTGAGTGCTGACGATTTCTGGGTTTTTTTTCTTTTTTAAATCCTGGACATTTTTTATTCGCTAATCATCTCTCAGTTCAACCAGCACAGAGCTGCATGCGATTTACCTTTTGATGTTCACAGAAGAGAACTCTTGAATTTCAAAGAGTCGTCAGGGATTTAGGGGGAACCGCATGCAGAAGCTGCCGCCTTAATCAAACCTCATTAGAGGGTATTCTTAAAGCAGGTTTTCCCTCTCGCGCTGCCTCCCTCCCTCCCTTCTCTGATTAGAGGACTGGTTATTGGGTTGGTGTGTGTTTTCTTTGGGACTCTCAATTGATCCCATGTGGTGAGGTCTCCTCCCACCACCGCCCGCCCCTCCCTGTCCCCACCTCCCAACAGCGAGCTCAGGGCTTGGAGTCAGGGTTCCTCTCCCACCTTATACTAGTTGCCATGGTGAGAATTAAGGCTTCATAAATAAAAGTAGCTCCAGGCAAAGTTCTCCTCCTGGAGAGTCTCTGCATCCTGCTTAGACAGGGCAGCTCACCAGAAGCAGGGCTCAGATCGGCCCTCCTGAGAGAACTCACAGCGCCTCCACCAGCACCGTGTGAACCCCTCCCTGACCCACGCAGGGCCACGGGCACCCCATGGTGGGCGATGTGGCCCTGGAAGGTGGTCTGGGGCGTTCAGAAGTGGAATAAGGCCTGAGACCCCAAAGGAACGTGGAAACCCAGCCTCACCCTGTTGAGTCCAGATCCGCAGCCCAGGCCGGCACATGAAGTCAATCTTAAGATCATTCCTGCCACACAAAAATAGCAGTAATTGCCACTTCGAGCCAGACATGTTGCTAAGTCCTCTAGAAACATTTTCTCTCCAATTCTCCCAATGGCCCGGTGAAGTAGGTGCTGTTGTTCTTATCCCCATTTTATAGATGGGGCCTCTTACTACACAGAGCAGTAAAGTAACTTGCCCTAGATCACACAGCTTGTGGGAAGGAGCTCCTAGACTGCGAGCTTCTGGCAGAGCAGACGTCCCCCTTGTTCCTCGTGGACCCAGTGCTGAGCTCATAGGGGGTGGGCAGTACACATCCCTGGAGGGAATGACAGGCCACGGCTCTGGGCTGGCCTCTGGCAACACAGAGAGTACTGACGGGGCCCCTGCCCCTGACAGGACCGTCCAGTGGGGCCAGCAGACCAGTCCTCAGAGTCAGGCATGATGAAGGCCGCAGGAAGCGGAAACAAGTAGTGCTCACGAAGGAGCGGGAAGCTATTAGGAGGTGCGGTGAACAGGTCCTTGTGGCAGAGGAGGGATGTCAGGCCACGGCATCGAGGGTGACCGGGCTCTCCCTTACGAACAAGCAGGATGCCACCAGTTGAGGGCCCTGGGCATGAGGAGGCTGCAAGCAGGGGCCATGACCAGATCGTGAAGAGCAAGCGTGCTGAGGGTTTGGGGGGAGATGGTGACGAGCCACGGTGGAGGCTTTGTCAACTTATTTGTCTGCATTAGTGAGGAAAGTCACACAATGAGAGATCAAACTGAACCTTCAGAGAGCTCACTCTGGAGGCCCTGGGAGGACGGCCGGTCAGGTCAAGGCTGCTACAAAATATCAGTTCAAAAGTTGAACCAGGACAGAGGTGTAAGAGGTGGACATGGTTTGAGTGACCTTCTCTCGTAGAACCAGCAGGTGTTGGTCACTGATTTGGCATGGGGTTTGGGGCGGCAGCGGGGGAAGGCAGTCTCTGTGGATGACTCCTGGGTTCCCATCTCGGTGTGGAGTGCATGCGGTGGCATTCACTAGGAGAAGGCAGGGTCCCATCCCAGGGGCTCACAGGTGAGCAGTGTGACTACACAAGCCCTTGGGTTGCCCCGAGTTTTCATTCCTCAAATGCAATGGTGTCTATTTAGAGCGTGGGTTAATACAAGGGTTTGCCACTAGACGTCATAATTATCTCCCCTCCTTCCTCCTTGCAGCGTGTTAAACCGTACGCCGATGAATCTGATCCAGGAGATCATATTAGTGGATGACTTCAGCAATGATCGTAAGTATCTTCACCCCCTTGCCCTGTAGGTACAAGTTTCTGTTCCCAGCCCCTGCATAACAGGCAGAGGCCAGTCCATTGGTTCTCCGGGGATGGAGAACAGCCTGGGTTTGTGGCAGGTGTGGAAGACTTTGAGGGTCTATGAGGGGCTCAAGAGGGAGACAAACCTTACATTTTAAAAATAATGCCTTAGATTCTCTGCTGCGAATCTTTGAGGACCTACGTAGTAAATTTAGTAGATCCTTGGTTGGGTTGGTGTGTGTATGTGCATGTGTGTGCACACATGTGTGTCACTGTCCCCTACTTACACTGGACATGGAAACCTTTGGAGGATTGGCCCGGGGACCCAGAGCAATTTATATCACTAGAGGTTCCTGACTTACCTGTGGTAATCTGCTAGCCTGAGTGCAGGCTGAAACACCCCCTCCTTTCACTCTCGCGGGAGGGCTGGGTGGGCTCTGCGGGAGAGAGGCTAAGGTTAGTAAACCAGTGAAGCAAAACCAACATGGCGGGGTCCCAATGTGGAGTTCAGAGGATTGGTAAATCGAGCAAGTGATGAGGTAAGCAGGCAAGCCAGAGACAAGTCCGGGGTGATGCTGAAGACGGGATTTCTTCCTGCCCATTCTGCACACTCCCCCGAATGGGGGAGAGTTCAGCCAGCTCTGTGTGATGGGGTACAGTGGACAGATCACTTAACAGATAAGGTCTCCAGTATCAAAAGTCTGTGATCAGAAAGGAAAATCCAAAATTCATCTCATCTATTGTGGGGTCTCCCAGCAGTTTTTGCTAGACCCCACTAGAGTGAGCAGGACTCTTGTCTCATGTTTTTAATGGTCTATAGAAAAGGAGAAGAGTCTCCAGGTGACCATACCAAGAATTCCCATCTGGAAGTGCTTCCTGATAAGAACACAGGTGCTTCTGTGCAACTGACCCGCTCCAAAAAGGTCCCTTTGGGCCACTTTGCATGGACTGGGCCACATTGCATATCGATAAAAGTGGTCAGTCAGCCTCATCCAAAACCCACAGTCACCCTGGAGTTGGGACAGGGCTCTGAGGTTGGGGACAGGCTGGGCTGCCTTACCTACTCTTCGGGTTCACGTCCATCCCAGGGTGCTCACACCACATAACCTTTTGTCTTCGCAGCTGAGGACTGCTTGCAGCTCATCAAGTTGCCCAAGGTGAAGTGCATACGCAATAGCGAGCGGCAAGGTAGGTCTGTGCAGCTGGGTAAGACCTTGGAGCGTGAGTGTAGGGGCTGGGGGATGTGTGTGCATCTGGCTGTGTGTTCAGTGTGGAGGGGATGTCGTGTGGCTCCTCCGTGAGCTCTCTGGAAGATGGAAGGACAGGAGCCCCCACTTGCCCATTTGTCCCTACCGCAGGTCTGGTCCGGTCCCGGATCCGGGGCGCTAACATTGCCAAGGGCACCACTCTGACTTTCCTGGACAGCCACTGTGAGGTGAACAGGGACTGGCTCCAGCCCCTGCTGCACAGAGTCAAAGAGGTGAGTGGGGCAGACAGGGTCAGGGTGCTGCATCCCCACCTTCTCTAGGCTCTCAAGCCAGTACTTCACTTATGCCCCCCGCCGGGCCCTCTGGGAGGGGGGTGGGACTGATTGCTGTCCCCATGTTGTAGATGGAGACACTGAGCTAGAACACCCTGCCCACGGTCACACAGCAGGCGGTGAGGGGGCAAAGCCGGGGATCTGTTCTTTGTATCCCACTGTCAACCTACAGCGGGCCTGTGAGTGGGGCTGCCGGCCCCCCGCTGATAACCTGACGCTGGCAGCTTCTTGGGTGAGAGAACCATCCAGAACTATTTCTCCCAGATGACAGAAGGTTCCAGAAAGGGAACCCTGTTGAGTGCCTTTTGTGACTAGGAGGCAGCAGAGTTAACTGGGCCTCGTCACCCAATTCCTGAGGCTTCTGTCTTCCCTGCACCCATGCATCACCCTTGCCCAGAGGCTGAGGCAGGTGGCAGGATGCTGAGAAACCTGAGTTCCTGGCCTTTGCCTGCCCTTAAATTGCTCAGGGATTCTGTGTGCTTCCTCTCTCCATGTCTGTTACTCCTTTTGAAAGTGAAAAAACCTTTCCTTAATGTTCCCATTGGTATTATATATTCCACAAAGACCATCCACCCCCGTCCTGATGTACAGAAAGTGCTATATTGTAGGAGCTTAGCATTTGGGCCGTGTCTGTCCTCCCTGAGCTACTGACTCCCACAGCTGCTCTGTGAAGTACAAGGCCGGGTGTTTTTCATATACCCATTTCACGGATGAGGCCACGGCGTCGGGGGAGCGGCGTAACTTGGGCTGATTCTCCCTAGCTGGCATCACGTGCACCAGAGCCCCCACACCATCTCCCCTGTGCCGTGGTGATTTCCTTCTTGCTCTTTGGGGCAGCTACCTTGCCCCTCCCCGCAAAACGACAGCGTTGAGGACGGAAGAACCCGTACGTGTCAACTGCTCAGAGAAGTAGGAAGCCCTTCCTGACTCTGGTCATTCTGATGAGAGCTCTCACACGTGGGCCCAGATGTGAATCCCCATCCTGTAATTGCCTGCCCTGAGATTGGGGCGGACACCCAGCGCCGGTTAGGAAAATCCTCTCTCCCCTCTTTCTGGCACAATCCGAGTGAAGAGGTCTGCATTGAGAAATAGTAGACTATGAACAGACCATTTAGTTGAAGGGCTTTGCCTGGCCCTAGAGGCCCTTCCAAATCTTCCCCTCGCTGTGTCCCAGAGGAGAGGGGCCCTGGGGGGTAGGGCTGAAAGTGCCAACCCTCTGTCATGTGCATGGTCCACCCCCCACCCCGGGAACAGTCATCTCATTAGCGTAAACTCAGGTTTGATGAGAGAGGATTGCTGTGAATCACGAAGAGGCCCCTGTCACCCCATCACTCAGGAAATCCCAGGGGTTTCAGAAGCTCTTGTGCAATGAACCAGGAACCCAAAGACCAGGGGTAGATTTCTTCTTATATCACAACATCACAGTATATACCACATTTTTAGTGAAGTTTTTTGTTTTAACTCGAGTGTAGTTAACATACAGTGTTAGTTTCAGGTGTACAAGATAGTGATTCAGCGAGTCTGTATATTATTGCTCAGCGTTCATCACGACAAGTGTCGTCTGAATCCCCATCACCCGTTTCCCCCATCCCCCATCCCCCACCCACCTCTCCTCTGGTGACCGTCAGTTTGTTCCCTGCAGTTAGAGGTCTGTTTCTTGGTTTGTCTCTCTCCTTTTATTCTCCTTTGCTCCTTTGTTTTGTTTTTTAAATTCCACATGTGAGTGAAATCATATGGCATTTGTCTTTCTCTGACTGACTTATTTCACTTAGCATTATACTCTCTGGATCCATCCATGTTGTTGCAAATGGCAAGATTTCATCTTTTTTATGGCTGAGTAATATTCCACTGTGTATCTACACCACATCTTCTTTATCCGTTCATCAGTCGATGGACACTTGGGCAGCTTCCATAGTTTGGCTCTTGTAAATAATGCTGCAATCAACATAGGGGCGCATATATCCCTTTGAATTAGTTGTTTTGGTATTTTTTAGGTAAATACCTCGTAGTGCAATGACTGGATCGTAGGGTAGTTCTATTTTTAACTTTTCAAGGAACCTCCATACTGTTTCCCAGAGTGGCTGCCCCAGCTTGCATTCCCACCAACAGTGCACGAGGGTTCCTATTTCTCCACATCCTCTCCAACAATTGTTGTTTCTTGTGTTGTTGATTTTAGCCATTCTCACAGCTGTGAGATTGTATCTCCTTGTGGTTTTGATTTGCATTTGCCTCATGATGAGTGATGTTGAGGATCTTTTCATGTGTCTGTTGGCCATCTGTATGTCTTTTTTGGAGAAATGTCTGCTCAGGTCCTCTGCCCATTTTTTAATTGTTTTTTTTTTGTTGTTTTTTATCCTTTTTTGGTGTTGAGTTTTATAAGTTCTTTATATATTTTGGAGACTAACCCTTTATCAGATAGGTCATTTGCAAATGTATTCTCCCATTCAGTAGCTTGTCTTTTTGTTCTGTTGATTGTTTCCTTCACTGTGCAGAAGCATTTTATTTTGATGTAGTCCCAATAGTTTATTTTGGCTTTTGTTTCCCTTGCCTCAGGAGACATATTTAGAAAAAAATTGTTGTGTCCGATGTTGGAGAAATTACTGCCTGAATACTACAGTTTGTTTATCCATTCCTCTGCCAATAGACATGTTGGGTTGTTTCCACCTTTTTACTATTGTGAATAGCACTGCTATGAACATTAGTATGTAAGTTTGAGTACCTGCTTCCAATTGTTTGGGGTCCATATCAATGAGTGGAATGGTGGGGTCACATGGCAGTTCAGTGTTTGACCTATAGGACCCCACCCCAGGCTGATGTGGCCCTGTAGGGTATGTTAGGGGGCCTTGCTTTCCTTAGACAGCTTTAATGAACCCTTTCCACCCCAGGGCCTCAGGGACCTTCACAGAAGCTCTCTGAAAAATGCTGTCATTGCTACATCCCTGGCCAGGCTCACCTGCAGATCAGAGAAGCCTTCATTTCCTCCTTCCTCCTTGTGAGTGCTCCTTGCATCCCAGGCTCCTGTGGGAGGCATTGGGCTCCACAATAGAGCTCACCCTCCCAGGCTGAGCTTCCAGTGCCCACCACTGTCTGACCTAAAGCTTTGGTAGCAGAGAACTGGTCGGACAGACCCAGGGCTGTGGTCCGACTCTGCTCCTTGCCGGGGCCACAGCAGCCTCCATGGTCTGCAGAGGTTTCTACCAGACCCTGACTCCTGTTGATGGAACATTCTCCTGAGACATCCCCTTCAGGACAGGGATGTGGGTGTGTGTCAGGCTGTGTTAACACGTGTCTTTGTGTCTTGTCTCAGAGTAAAACGTGATTTGTCTTGTGAGTGGAAGTGGAAATTTTAAGCTGTAATTGGAGTTAGGGATTTTCAAAAATAGAAAGAGATAAGAAAGAGCTGGGTTTGGGCTGTCAGAAGCTGTCCTCAGCTGGTCTCGTCCACATGGAACCCTCTCGATGTCCCGTTTCAGTTACTCGAAGATACTTGAAACAAGCACCAGGTTGGTTTTAATTTTTTGAACAGAGGCCTCTTCCCCCCCCCCCCCGCTCCTTATCTACATATTTCTTTAGTTGGAAAAAAGATTTTGAGAAATTTCAATCCCTGTAGCATTTGGTAAATTCATATAAATAATGGCTTACATATGCTACAAAGCCTTTCACACGCCTCCCTCCCATGTTCCATCCAAAAGCCCTGTTAGGAAGGCGAGATGGTTTTGCAAATAATAATTTGTCTTCGCTTTATAGATGAAGAGACAGCTCCTCAGTGTGTGCTGGTGTGTTTAAGGTGACACGTATGCTAGATGAACCAGAACGAGAACCCAGGTCTCCTGTCACCTCGAGGACCGCTCCTTCTCCTGCACCCCTACCTCCAGGCTGCCCTAGAAGCCCCATTGTAATCCTCTGCCACCCGTCCCTGCCTTCCCTAGACTGTGAGGCCTTATTCGTCTTGGTACCTGCCACAACTCCTAAACTATAAGAGGTACTCCGTAAAGCTGGCTGACCAAATGAGTGAATGATCTCTCTAGGAGGTTTTTTTTCTTTTTTTAATTATTATTTTTTTAGAGGGGTGGGCAGAGGGAGAGGGAGAGAGAGAATCTTAAGCAGGCTCCACACTCAGTGCAGAGCCCGATACGGAGCTTGATCTCACAACCCTGAGATCATGACCTGAGCTGAAATCAAGAGTTGGACGCATAACCAACAGAGACACCCAAGTGGCCATCTCTTGGAGTTTTTTGAGGGCCCGTTCCCAATGTGGTTTTAGTTATTTGAATGGGTGGAGAAAGGAGAGGTGTACTGCAGGGATTATTGATGGCCATTGCTGGTATATTCAGCTGCTGTCATTGCTGGGCTCCTGTCCATGGGGCAGGGCCCAGGCTCAGATTCGTGTTGGGGAGTGGGGAAGAAGGGGGTTTAGTCCCGGGTCTGTCAGGGCTTCGTCCAGCTGCCTGATTAAGCCTACCTGTGGGCCTAGCCTTAAAGGCCATCCTCCTGGAGCACACAGCAGGGACCTGTAGTGGGTCTGGGTATCTTTATGGAGAGTCCCTCTGTCCCTGAACCTGTAGGAGGAGAGGCCATCTTTCTCAGTGGTAACTGACCCACCTGCTTTGCTGCTGGCCATTGACATAGTGTCCTCAGAGGGGGTTAATAGACAGCCTCTTTAGCCAACACCAGTGGATTACCCGCTGCCCAGCAGGCTGTGGGCTGATGCTGAGGGCTACACAGGTGGAGCAGTTACTGACCCCCTAGGTCACTCAGAGAGGTTTGTGTCCTGGCTTCAAGGTTCATGTATAAAGTCTCATGTAGCTTCTTTTAAAGGTCATGGCTCCACACAGTACTTATCCCCAAATGTCCCTGATCACCTATCTGTTCTCCATGACTCAAGCAGACACCACACATGAGCTTTGGCAGGAATAAGAGAAGGGCAGAAGCCCTCAGAACTTATAGGGAGAGGTTACCAGAGCTGGTGCACCCTGGAGGCAGAGTCCCTGGGTGACTTCTGGGGAAGGCTGTGGCCGAGGTAAGCAACCAGCATTTTATTTTGTATTTCAGTTTCCAAATATTGAGGAGAAATTAAAAAACCAGGATTGCTGTTTGGGGGCCCCTGAGACCACCCTCAGGTTCAATAATTCACTAGAAGGACTTGGAACTTAGCTGTTATATTCATCATTGCTGTTTAGTATAGCCAATGGATACAGGTGAGACTCTGCAGTGGGAAAAGGTGCACAGAGAGAGTTCCAGACATAAGCTTCCAGTGGACTGCCCCCAGTGCGGTTACACAGACAACACTTCCTTCTCCCAGCAACAACGTAGAACAACACGTGCAGAGCGTTGAGAAACAGGGAAACCCACCCAAGCCTTGGTGTCTGGGCTTTCTGTTGGGCATCAGTCACATAGACATGGCTGACCCGCCATGGTCCCCATGCCCCTCCAGAGGTCAGTTTGAGCTGGTACCACACAGCCCAAGGCCCTTAGCATAAGTCACACTGTTAGCATAGACTATCTGGTATATCCCAAGGCTACCAGGTAAACAGAGGCAGGACATCCTGAGGGCTTAGAAGTTACTGCCCAGAAGCCAGGCAAGGGCCAAACATATCTGTGGGCAAGGTGAATCCTTCACCGCACAAGCGTCTATGTAAGGACTTAGTGAAGCTACAGAGACCCCAAAACTCAACCGGCAAAGGCGAAATGAGAACTTTGTCAGACTCACAGAAGAAGTTCAGTCTCTGAACTTGTAAGAACACATCAGAATTCAAGTCACAGGAATATCTTCGGGGTTGTGTCCATGGGTAGGTATCGGTGTGGGTGGCTGGGTGTGTGCATGCGCGCGCGCAGGATGACAGGGCCTGAGAAGAGCCTGGAGAGCGGAGGCAGCTGGGCAGGTGCCGTGTTGACTGTGGAAGAAGCATCTGTGCACGTCCCAGTGGTAGAAGCAATGCACTGAAAATGAGCATTTCTTTCCACACGGGCCACTCGGCTTCTGAGGTACCTTGTCACTGTCAGGATGAGTCACATGTGGAAGCTGAGGGCCAGATGAAGTCTGTGAACATAAAAGCTGACACCCGGTGAGTCTGAGCTTAAAATAAGAAGACAGCCTCGTTTGGGAGAGAGATTGAACCAGGAAATGAAATGGCTGCAAGGAGAAGCAGAGGCTCCTGCCCCTGCAGGCTGGTGGGGGAGGGGGAGAGGTGAGGAGGACTACAAAAGTGTCCTTGCTTGGTGTGCCCACACCTGCC